TTTTATATATATATATATATAAATAATACTTGTTTATCCATTCACCCATCGATGTATTTTGGGATATTTACAGCTTTTGGCTTTTGTGAATAGTGCTGCTATGAACATGCATGTACATGTATTTATTTACTTATTTTCAATTTTTTGAAAATATATGGGAATATATGTAGGAGTGAAATTGCTGGGGTAGATGGTAATTCTATATTTAACTTTTTGAGGAACTGCCAAACTGTTTGCATAGGTGCCATTTTACATTCCCACCAGTAATGGACCACAGTTCCAATTTCTCCATATCTTCACTAAAACTTTTATTTTCTATGTTGTTGTTGTTGTTCTTTGTTTTTATTTTTAATTATAGCATTCCATTTTTAACCACAGTTGATTCTAGGAGAGTTTAAGAAATGATACCTTCCCCCCTCACAGTTCTTTTCTCTAAATCTAAGCTGTATTGCTTTGGATAGATTTAAGTGTCATATAAAAGAAAAAAAAAAAAGTATATTTCTCCTTTTTGAAGGCATGATTTGTTTTTCCATATTTTTAAAAAGCAAGTACTAAAATGAATCTTTGCTTAGTAGCATATGCTAATATGCTTTGTTTTGGTTACCTAGTGCTATTCTGACAGGAAAATACCACAAATGGAATGGCCTTAACAAACAGCAGTTTATTCTCTCACAATTTGGAGGTTTTAAGTCCAAGTTCAAAGTGCCAGGCTCTAGAGGCTGGGTGAAAGCCCCTCAACCTTGGCTTCAGCTCTGCCTCTTGTTCCCAGCCCACTGGAGCTAGAGGCATCTCTTCACTCAGGCAGCTACTGGCTGCTGAGGCTAACAAGCCCAAGGTCTTCAAATAAAATGGCACAGTCCTGATGTTACCAAACCACACAGCAGGCCATTAATTCAAGTCCATTGTAAGTCCCAAGGTTGGCGGAGCATGGCAGGCTGCTGAACAAGGACACAGCTACACGCAGGGTCCAAGTGTGCCATATGCTAGAGACCATTCCCAAAGCTGCTGCTTCTACAGCAATGAGACCACATACCCAAAGCAGCTACTCAGCTGCTTGTGGTAGATCCCACCATGGAGTTGATTGCCATTCTCATCATGGGGAGTAACTACCACCAGCTGCCAAGCCACTCAACCAGACCCAGCCAAGGTGACACACAAACATAACTACCACATGCTTTATGTAATGGAATAAACCTTAGCTGGGAAAGTGGGAGAATATATAACCCTCATCAATAAATGGCCAATTTTGAAATTATCTGGAAAG